TCCACCAGTGTAAAGGATATAATAGAACAAAGATAATTGGAAATGTTTATCGCTCTCCCGCTAGAAAACCTGAAGCATTTCTTGAAATTTTTAAAAGTACGCTTCACAACCTGGGAAGACACTCTCGCAAACATATGACGTTACATGGAGATTTTAATCTAAATTTACTGAAGCACAGTAGCAACCAGGCATGTCAAAGCATTATAGATATTGCATCCTCATACGGTTTCATCCAAATTGTATCACGTCCAACTCGCATAACAGACCACAGTGCCACGCTTATTGATCATATCTACACGAACAATCTTGAAGATACAATAACATGAATAAGCTGCAACGTATTAACGACAGATCTGTCGGATCACTTAGCGATAGTTACAACAATTAATCTTGATAATACATCCACCAGCAGTTACCGCTCCGCATCTTATAATCAAAATCCAACACAAACCAACGTACGTAGTTTTAATGAGGCCAACAACCATAAATTTAGAGATTTAATAATGGAAGAAAATTGGTCTGTAATACTAACAAATACCCCTGATGCTAACCAGCAGTTTGATTGTTTAAATTCGGCTTACAACAGGATTTATAACGCTGCCTACCCGACAAAAAGACAGTCCGAGCGCAGACAAAATGAACGTGTTAATCCCAAACCATGGATACTGCCCTGGCTTGAAGAAGCTATAGAAGGTAAAAATCAGGCATATCATGATTTTGTTAAGGAACCAGTTGATAGGAACCAGCTAAAATATGACCGTTTGAAAAAGTTTTGCACCAAACACGTTGACAAAGCCAAAAACATACACTACAAAAAATTCTTTGAACAACACAAAGATAATTCTAAGAAGCAGTGGCAGATGATTAACGGACTTCTGAATAGGAAACCAGCCAAACCTACATCGATAAAACTGTCGGACGAAAACGGACAAGTCAGCACTCCGGCAGCAGTAGCAGAAAAATTTAATGATCACTTCTCAAACATCGCTCCAAAAATTAAATCTGAAATTAGTAGTAGGACCACTTTCGATCCTGGTGGGGCCCAGGGGACACTACGTAACCCTTCTCCAAATAGTATCTACATAAAACCAGTCACAACTACCGAAGTTCAAGACGTTATTAACCTATTTAAGAATAAAGCTACTCTTGACACCAAAATCCAACCACTCAAAATTGCCAACAGCTGTCATAATTTTACCACTGTATTGGCCCACGTTGTTAACAGCTCGTTCGAACAAGGGGTCTTTCCCCAAGCCTTGAAAACGGCAAAAGTAGTTCCTGTACATAAAGGTGGATCTAAAACTGACATCAAAAATTACAGACCGATATCTCTACTTGCCACTTTCTCAAAAGTCTACGAAAAGCTTATGCACAATCGAGTCATAAATTTCTTGAATACCTACAATATACTTTGTGAAAATCAATACGGCTTCCGCCCAGGTAGGTCTTGTGAACATGCTAAAGACAGAATCCTCAATTCAATGTCTAAAAAGCAAGTTACTTTGCTCCTTTTGATTGACTTTAGCAAAGCCTTTGACCTTGTGGATCACTCCATACTCCTGAATAAGCTCGAGCACTATGGCATAAGAGGTCTAGCTTTAAACTGGTTTAAATCATATCTTATGAACAGAAACCAGTTTGTATCAATTGGATCCTCTGAATCCTCAGCCAATCCAATTATTTACGGTGTACCCCAAGGTTCAATTTTGGGACCTCTCCTTTTTATAATCTACATAAACGATCTTCCTCAAATATCAGAAATAGCTAATTTCATCATGTACGCAGATGATGCAAACATTTTCCTAACAGGAGAAAATATAAACGAGGTTTATGATAAGCTCAAAATTCTTAGCGATGTCTTAGTTAAATGGGTGGATAACAACGGATTAGCTCTAAATCTTTAAAAAACGAATTATATGATCTTTTCTCGACAAAGAAACCTCATTTATCGCGATGTAGTAATTTCTGGTGTCACAATCGAAAGAAAAACAGAAGCCCGTTTCTTAGGTGTTATAATAGATAACAAACTGAACTGGTCGCAACATATTTCTGCCATGAAAATGAAAATGGCCAGATACATTGGAGTCATGTACAAACTTAAAAAATGTTTGCCTCTGGAAGCACGTTTACAAATATATCACAGCTTTGTGCAGTCTCACCTTAATTACTGCTCCCTCGTCTGGGGTTTTGCTGCCAAATCCCATATAGAAACGCTATTTGTTAAACAGAAAATGGGTCTTAGAGCAATACTACCAGGTTTTGTTAATTACTGGTACAAAGATGGTACACCACCAGCAAGTACCAAGTCTGGTTTCTATGTACACAAAATATTGACAGTTCATAGTATCATCGTAAAGAACGCATTAGTTTTTATACATAAGCTAAAAAACTTCCCAAGTCTAGTGCCTCCCTCTATAAAGAAAACAATACCTAACAGTGCACCAATATTTAACGTCGCCGATCCGGATTCGAGTCTTACAACTTTATGGTCAGATGAATACGGTAAACACCCTTACAATAATTCAGTATTCTACAAAGGTCCACTATTAGCAATAAACAGATATAGTGTCGCAGCAACTTCCTTGCCAAGTCTATTCAACCTTAACATCTACAAAAGGTGCATAAAAAACATGCTCATTGATCAACAAAACGAGGGCATTGCAGACGAATGGCCTAACTTTATGTTATACAATATAACGGGACTAAGGAAATCAGAGCGCAACATCAACCGTAATGCTAATAATAACTCTGTCCCATAAGCACGCCATCACAGAATCAATTTCACTGCATACCATCTCAGTTACACTGCCATCAATTCGCCAGCAAAAACGGCATGACGCTATGCGACTGATAACAGTCGTAAAATTTTAAAAATTTTGGAATAGCTAGCTAGCAGTAGCTATGCGCCTGTTTCCACTCTAACAACTCTAAAAGCATATTAATATGATAATTTCAACTAAAGGCAACTTTATATGTGCTCAGCTATGTTTTGTTCGACAAGCTCTATTATATACATTTTAATCGTTTTAATGAGATCTAATCTTGTATGAGTTTTGAGTTTGAATTGATAACACTTATTATATATATTATTTTTGAGTAAACATTGGCTGGTACTTCGGGCCGGTCCCCAACAAAAAAAAAAATTTTATTGGCTCAAGATGATCGGAATAGCTTAAAACACGGAGAAAAGTACATATCGAGCTGTATTCAATCACAATACGACACAATACGTGTATATGGTTTATATAACGCTTCATACTGTGAGAAACCCGGTATAGAGACGTTTTACAGTTTATCACGAAAACGTATACTTGGCCTCATGGCTCATTTACAGTTCGAAGAAGGCAAGAACAGACCAGGGAAACTAAGGAACAGCCAGGTCCAGGAAGCAAGTGCAAATACACCTTCCAACATCTACTGTGACTTGTTTTGTATTGTACTGCATACCGCTTCATTTGCTATGCGGGATAAAATCACCCCCATATGTCAGGGTCGGCTAAAAGTAAAATCAACAAGGGTAACATACGGGCAAGGATAAGATTTAGATACGAGCGTCGGGCAAGGGGTGGTACTGGTAAAGAACCGGTAATAATTCATTCAGTGAAATGTTCCACGAGAGTCAGGATATTTTGGAAATTGCTAATAGAGACAGATCCTGATCAGGAAGGATTGTTAATGTTATTGAGGATGTTGATTTGAAATCCGGACGTTGTGAAGTAAAAATACAGGTTCTTTCCGCACGATATTCGGGGCCCATGATGATCAGCTCGGGATTAATGTGGGACAGATCGAAGAGCATTGAAAAGAGCGAGTTGACATTTTAAGCTTTTTTGTCTTTTCTTGCCTTCTTTGAGCTGTCAAAGAGTCATGAGGCCATAAGTAGACGTTTTCGTGATAAACTGTAAAACCTGTCCATACCGGGCCTCTCACGGGAGAAACGAGAAGTGTACGGTATAGAACGTTTCATATACCTCATTAAGAGCCATGATATAATATACACGTATTGCATTGTGTCGTATTGTGATTGAATACAGCTCGATATGTACTTCATCGCCCACCAAATGCGATATGAACAACTTGGTTTGATTGTTGAGGAAAAGAAGAGGTCTGGTAATCCAGGTAGGCCGGTTTAGATTAGCACAATTGACGGTACAGAGAGGTTTTATTTATTACAAATGTGATTATCTTAACCCCACTGATTCATCATTGAAATCAATAAAATGATAGTACAGCAGGCTATCGTTTCGTCTTTCGATCTTGACTGTGCCATTGGTGCAGTTTCTGTGAAAATCGATAAGGCTGTATTGTAATTAGTTATGAAACTCTTATATCGTATGGTTAACGTTTTTCAGTTTCAAACCTTTCCACTTAGTAATTCCTGATTACTAAAATCTGCCGCGATTTACTGAACTCCAACTACAAATATTGGTGATTTAAGTATTCTTGAAACGAAAAATTCACTAATTTTTTTTGAAAAGCATTTTTCTCCGCGTTTCATGCAATTTGATCACTTTTGGCGGAAAATATATTTTGAATTTTCGAAATTTTTCCAAGTCTCGAAAAAAAAATGTAAGTGAAAAATTTTCAAAGTTTTTCTAAAAACTACTTTTCTCCGTGTTTTAAGCTATTCCGATCATCTTGAGCCAATAAAAATTTTTTAGAATTTTGCTAATTAGCTAATTGATAATTATCCAATTAACTGATTATCTGACGTACAAATTGTTAGAACAAAAGTTTTTCTTCATCGTAATATGAACACACTCGATTGATCCGCAACCTTTTACGATGTTCACAACTAAAGATATTCGACAAACAAGAAAGGTGGTAAAAAGTGGTAAAGTGGCAAAAAGTGGCCTTAAGACAAGTGGAAAAGTTTGGAAAAGTTGGTCAGCCATAGAGGGCACCTATTAGGACTCAAAAACGTCAAAAATCCTCTGAAAGCTTCGTGTGTCAGCAGATCGATTTTTTCAGACGGATTTGTCTGTACTATATCTGGACACGTGTTTCGTCAGCTACTGGCTAGGTCAATAATTGCAGAACAAAGAAATAATTAACGGTTAAGAATAATATACGAATTGCTCAATGCACATTCTATGTTCTATTCAGTACAAGGCTTTTGTGAGGATTTATTTGATCAAACCAAGAGCTGATCGATTCTTCCACACAAATACGAGTAAACAAAAGGCAGCGCATCAGAACGAACAACTTGGCATTGTTAAGATCAAGTCGGTTGGCAATTTGTAGTTGACTGTGTGTTGCCTTTTGTTGAGAAATCAGCACATCCATCGTAGACTTGTAGAGGTTACCAATAGCCTAGAATTTCTACATTCAATTTTCTTTGTTTGAATCATGTTCACTGCCACTCTCCTACTTCTGCCAGCCTCCCTGTTGGCTGGTTTACTGGTCTTATCGCTCTATATCTTCAATCTTCACAGCAAATATGATCACATCCCCGGGCCTACTCGGCACAGTTTCTTCCTCGGAAATGCTCCTTATCTCTTGAAGCGATTCAAGGAGGACCAATCTGGGTTTACTGTTGCTCTTGAGTATATGCAGAGGTACGGACACGTCTTCGTACTCTGGTATATCCTAAAACCTCAAGTAATCGTAACAAATCCTGAGACTATCAAAGACTTAATAATATCTAATGTTCACGGTAAACAAGATAAGCGACCTGAGGCGCAGCTATTTGGGCAGCGTTTCGTGGGGCCAAAAAATATCGTGGTCAATAAGGGCGATGAAGTGTGGCAGAGAAATCGCAGGGCTTACACCAAATACTTTGGCAGGAACTACATGAGGCAGTACCATGATCAGGTCAAGATTGTAGCTGGCCGCCTTGTTGAAAAGATGTCAGAACTAGCTGGTACTGGCGAGGTTGTCGATTTGAGTCACTGGATCCACTTAGCTTCCTGTGATATCATCGGACTGGTTGCTCTCGATTGGGACATTCATGCTGTGCTCAAGGAAGATTCTACGTTTCCTAAGTATTTGGACTTAGTAATGAAGGGCGTGGCGTTTGCTGCAGGCAAGCCCATATCTCGGATAGCTCCTAAATTCAGATCGATGAGGGCCGAAGTGACGCATGCAGTGAGAGAACTACGGAAGAGCTGTGCAGCACAGATAAAGAAGCACATCGCTAGAAAAGTACGAGGTGAGGTGACGGAATCGTGCCTTCTTGATGAGATCCTGTCTCAGTCTTCAGGGGACCAAGAGTATCAGATAGATGAAATGCTGACCGTGTTTCTGGCTGGCCAGGAAACGGTCGCCCACACTATCTCTTTCGCCATGTGTCACCTGATGAGAGACCCCGTGATACTAGACTCAGTTGATAGAGATGTCCAGGGGTACATTACGAATCCCTCGTTTGAAAAGCTTGCAGGAATGGTTCATATGGATAATTTGATGAAGGAAACACTCCGACATTATGGTGCTGTGCCTGGTCTCAGACGGATCCTGTCCAAGGAGACCGATATATCTGGTTACAAGGTTCCCAAAGGCACTGAAATAGTACATGTTCTAAAGTTGTACGCTCACGACGAAAAGATTTGGGGATCAGATCACAAGGAGTTCAATCCAGCACGTTTTGACAACTACACGTTCAGTACAAGCAAGGAGATGGGTACTCCTGGACTCACAAGGACTCCTACTAGGAGAACAAATGTTCACCACGACCAGAACAGACACCCACACGGATTTTTACCATTTGGAATAGGTCCAAGAAACTGTTTGGGGAAGGAGTTGGCCAAAATAGAATTTAAATCGGTAATTTCTCATTTATTCTACCACTTCAAGTTTACTCCAGTAAAAGGAGAAAATATTCAGCTCATGAGGTACAATAGTGTTAAGCCCTTGTCAGGACAGAATTGTTATGTGGATTTGATAGAGTGATTTATTGTGATAATCTGAGATCTGTATCAGTATTAACTTATCCTGTATTCAAGTGTGTTCGTCTCTAATAATATTATCATTGTTATATTTAATCTTTAATTTTCCAATAGATTCAGATACTTTCATTTATATCGACTTTTATTCAAACCTGAAGAAATAGGAATAGATTAGCATCAATCTGTTAAATATAAAAGTAGTCCTACGCATGCTCAATTATCCAAGTTCAAATGGATATTTAACTGGAGTAAACAGAGTACAACTACAATTAATCACACATAGAATCAAATTCCACAAACCAAAACCAATTAGCAGCTTGACAATTTCCCACACTGTGTTGACACTACTATATTAGCAAAACCGATAAATCTTATCGGCCCTTTTGTGGACGACCTTTATTTGCCCTCTGTGTATTGCTACTGCTAGTAGTAGTACTTATTCATTATCAGGGCTGATCACAATTTTGGCCGCCTATTGTTCATGGTTGTAGACTATTTATGTATTTTCAAAATACTCTCTCTTTTGCATGTATGAGATCAGGATTATTAAAATATTGCAGCTGACGCAGGATGTGATGTGTTATGGCTGGAGGATACAGGTACAATGGTTACCAAACAGACTCATCTCAAACTCCGGGGTTATTTCTTTAATTTTAGCGGCGGTGTCGTTTACTGAGTTTTACGTAGATTGTTAAAATTGCAGCTGATCAGCGTTTTCCCTTTTATTTTATTAAAACCGATAATTTATTATTATTATTAGAAGGCTCGAAATTATTTAAAATTGCCAAAATAAAACTTGTTAGCCGCCCTTCTCCACGTATAGTCATGAATAGGACCTCCAAAATTTTGGCTACCACAGTATGGTCCGTAAAAATGATAAGAACTAAAAACTCTGAACAGAAGTCCAGTTACAATCTTAAATTAAATCCTACCGCAGAGATCCCTTCCGAGATGGGACAGGGACAGGGACAGGGACAGGGACAGGGACAGGGACAGGGACAGGGACAGGGACAGGGACAGGGACAGGGACAGGGACAGGGACAGGGACAGGGACAGGGACAGGGACAGGGACAGGGACAGGGACAGGGACAGGGACAGGGACAGGGACAGGGACAGGGACAGGGACAGGGACAGGGACAGGGACAGGGACAGGGACAGGGACAGGGACAGGGACAGGGACAGGGACAGGGACAGGGACAGGGACAGGGACAGGGACAGGGACAGGGACAGGGACAGGGACAGGGACAGGGACAGGGACAGGGACAGGGACAGGGACAGGGACAGGGACAGGGACAGGGACAGGGACAGGGACAGGGACAGGGACAGGGACAGGGACAGGGACAGGGACAGGGACAGGGACAGGGACAGGGACAGGGAAAGGGACAGGGACAGGGACAGGGACAGGGACAGGGACAGGGACAGGGACAGGGACAGGGACAGGGACAGGGACAGGGACAGGGACAGGGACAGGGACAGGGACAGGCTTGATTATGATCGCCAACTCAGACCTTTGGGTTTAGTAAATGCTGTAGCCGACAAGTAAGAATTACTGAGTAAATTCCAAATTTGCAACTCTATACTAATCGTTGTAGTGTCAGTGTCACAACGTAATGAGTAATGATAAACCATACAAGTTCGACGCATACTGTCTCTGACTTCGTCTAAAGTGCTTGGTAGAATTACTCGACTCCTGCATGGAGCGGGCTGTTTGTATTGTCTTAGTTATTAGTGCAAGTGTAGCATTGTGAATTCTTTGACAGTCTGGGTTATGTTTTATCTCGAATTACCTTTTGCAGACATTTTTGGTTGCGATTGATGAGAATGAGCCCCTTCAAATGTTACTTTTATATAATATAGTTAATTTCATACAGGGTGGGCCAAACTCAGTGACCATACGTCGGGTCTTATACCTCCGCCGTGTTTTATATTTGAGAGTTGTTGCTTTGCAGATGGCATACTGTAACTACTTGTTCGAGGATTCTGTCGCCAAAATTTGAAAATTCGAATATTTTAGACCACGCCCATTCAATATTAAAACACCTATATTGTTCTCTCTGAACATTTTGGACCCCTAATTTTTTCAGAGACGGTAGATTATTACATTTTGCATCTGATCTGAAAAAAAAATGATGTGAAACGGATTAGAAATGACGAAGTTATCAAGCATTTTGTGTATCTCGTTAGCAAAATTGATTAGGTGATTATTGATTATGTGACACTCTACCAATACTAAAAGTATTATGGAAGAGAGCGCTGCGGAGTATGAGTCATCGGAAAATGGGGGAAAGATGGAGAACGTCGCCCAACACTCACTTCAAACGAGTATGGAGAAATAAGTTCGCCAGATCAATCCCGAAACTTGGCAAAGAGAGCACAAGAACAGCGACACAATTCCTTACTGGACATTGTGAACTAAACTACCACACTGTCTTATGCTCTTATGGAAGAGGAGACAATGAAACACTTTATTGGTCAGTGCCCGAAATGGTCTTACCTACGAGGAGGATATATTGACTCCTTATATCTTAGTGTGACAGACATAGTGGACAAGTTCTCACTACCAAGGATCATCGGCTTCAATCTTCATACAAGCAACAAAACAATTTACTAAATGCGGAGAAAACAAAGTTTAACTTTTTTCTCTAATTTTTTAATTTTTACCGGGGTAAGCACAGGGCTCCAATGTTCTATCTTACAGTGGTCACTATCTTTCCATTAGTGATAATGACACGACACCTTAATTGGGCAGCCTTAATTAATGTTTAACAGGGTAGTTAACGGGGTCACCTTATCACGTGATTAGGTAAGCCAATCACCTGATCACATATAATGAATAAACTAGTTATGGTTCGTATCTCGGTCATCCGAGAAGCTATAACTCTAATTTTTTCAGGACAAACGTAATTCGAATGGCCTAACACAATTCAATAAAATTTCGCTCGATCCGACTATCCAATGATTATGATCTCGGATACTGATTGTCGCCCTTTCAGTGGAGGAGGAACTATCGGCAGTGTCACCACTGCTGGTGGCAATTATATTTGTCGACAATTGACAATGAAATTGAATTTGATAAAAACAATGTAATTTTTTAATCAATAAAAAGAAAATGATACTAATACATTGTAGTCTATTCAGTTAAATTTTTATGAAGAAGACAGGCGACGTTTGATTTTCTACTCCGATCGAAATCTAAAACTCTTAGCGCTTTAAAAAAACAGAAAACGTGGTATTAATAGAATTAACCTACCATCCTTACTTAATTATTCACATTAATAGTAAGACCTAAATACCAGACAAAATTATACATGTCAATTATTCCGGCATACCTGACGAATTCCAATTTTTATTTATAATTTTTTAGTCCTCCAATTACTGAATAACATGCCGGTTCATTGGTCAGCTCCAGGAGGCCACATGAATTAGATATGTCCATTCCGACTGATTTAATCAAATTATTCACTTACTAACAATCCGCTTTGTATTTTGAAATTAGCCGCATTTTAATTATGTTCTTCGACAAAGAAATACAGGTCGCTTATGCAGGATGGGTGATTCTGACAATGCTTCCAACTGGAAGAACTAAAAACGGCTCACGTTTTTAGATTTACAGTAGATTTAATTTGACGGCAAAAAACTGAGTTTCCAAATATTCAACACGTACCTGGACAAGTGGACGCCGTTTTCCGTTTGTTGAAAAATAGTGCACACAGTTTGTATTATGTTATTATGTTTATATATTTTGTAGTTTGGGTGTGTTAACACCCATGACCCAATTTAGAGCTCTCCCTATCATCAAGACCAAGCATTAGTTACCACGGTTAACCATGGTTACCAGCCGGGTATCGTGGTTACCAGCCTTCCTTCCTGTTGTTTCTCAGAATCTCACATAGTGAGAAAAGCCCTACTGTGCAAGAGCTGTATTCGATAATTCGCCAATTAGCATCACACTAGGATTTGTATGCGCACTTATGAATCAAATCTTCCCGTTATACTTTATATAGCATCTGCCTGTATCTGCTTGCAAAATTGAAAAACTGGATTATCTAAAGATCTTTCCCTCAATTTTACAAAGAAATTAGTTGAACTTTATTGAGTTTGTTAGGTCCGGCACGCTTCCGTTCACTTGACACTTTTAGTCAGTGTAATAAGCGTAACTCTGCTATAATGGCAATTATCAAACAAGGAACTTTCCTAGCTATCGCACCGGCTTGTGGCCGGGGTTAATATTATAAAGCGAGGTGTATCTGCAGTATATGTCAATATGTCTTGTCTAGTGTAGACTTATCCGTTTGTTATAACCAATGCTATAACTTTAAGGTTTACTTTAGCTGTCCTGTCAGTCTGAATTGATTTTGAATACATTGGTGCCATTACTGGACAGGAATGTTAAAATCAGCCGGGTATCGTCATGGTTACCAGCCGGGTATCGTGGTTACCAGCCGGGTATCGTGGTTACCAGCCGGGTATCGTGGTTACCAGCCGGGTATCGTGGTTACCAGCCGGGTATCATGGTTACCAGCCGGGTATCGTCATGGTTACCAGCCGGGTATGGTCATGGTTACCAGCCGGGTATCGTCATGGTTACCAGCCGGGTATCGTCATGGTTACCAGCCGGGTATCGTGGTTACCAGCCGGGTATCGTCATGGTTACCAGCCGGGTATCGTCATGGTTACCAGCCGGGTATCGTCATGGTTACCAGCCGGGTATCGTGGTTACCAGCCGGGTATCGTGGTTACCAGCCGGGTATCGTGGTTACCAGCTAGCCGTTATGACAATTGTTGTACGTTTAAAAGCTTAACCTGGTTAAATTAAAACGGCCTGAATGTCTGATTACTTATTTTGCTTAAATTTTTGGAAAAGCGTAACTCCAAAATAAACCGTTCCGTCTGCTGTGAGTCAGACTAATTCAGCTTTATAAAACAGATCTATTATAAGCAGGCCAAAAGCTTTTAATTTAGCCACAGAATTAACGACAAATTAGCCTTGTTTGACTAAATGGCTACTTAGTGGTTTCACTACATTGCTGCCATCATATATTAATATAAACTACTCATATTTGTAATTCTTCCGTCTTACTATTTTTAATGAATTACAAGCATATTGGGTGTTTCGATGAACGCTTTATAGGACATGCGTATCCATTGTCCGTGTGACACAGTGACACAGTACCACAGTATGTAGTATATTTAGATGTCAATCCTGCTGACAAGTGGCAACAGTAATAGCATGTAGTATCATCGAGATGCAGGCAGCTTTTGAAGTTTTGTATAATTATCAATAATGAAGTTCGGAACAGTTTAGCTGTACTACGTATTTATTGCTTATACTTTAATAGTACTAGTAGTTTAACTTTTTTTAATCGTATTGATGAATTAGACAGCTTAATTTGATAAGCTGGATAGAAGAAATGGAATCGACTATAGCTTTATTATAATCGCTTATATTTTAAAAGATACGTTGGTTCGATGGTTACGTTACACAATATATAATTATATTCCATACCCCGTTGGACGCCCATTGTGTAACTAAATCTGTCGTAAACATTATAAAAGATGATTTGCATTATTTCCATCTTGCACAATGCACATAGGCTATCCATGCAATTCGATGCATTGAACGTGATGGACACTGGACAGTTCACGTCCGTTGTGTTTGGTGTACGTAAAATATTGAATTCATTAGGCAATAGGCATGGAACGTCCAGTTCACTGCACAAAATGGCTGTCCATTGGATACTGTATTTTTTACTGCACCTTTATTTTCATGCTGTTGCTACCGTTAGCATCTTAGTACCTACCGTTGGGTGGCGCCGGACATACTGTTACATTTTATTTCATGCTTACTTTATTTGAGCAATCCCAAACGCCAGATGGTTACTAAGCAACTGGCCAATTATAAGAGACCTAAGGATCTTGCATGACCATCTAAATTCTAAAGTTTTCTTTATTGGCAAATATTTTGCTCATCCTTTGAAGTCGTCACTATGGGCGATATCACGCCTTACTCAGACCACAGACCGATATCAACCGCCCTCACCACAAACCATGGGGTGAATCTTCTTGATGACAACCTCTATAAAGAACGTGAACGGAAACTAGCACCAGTGCCGAAGCCCCTCAAGTGGACCAAAGACACTAGCACTGGGTTTGGTACATCAGAAAAGTTCAAGTCGGCCCAGAATGATGCCCAATTCATGCAGAAGGTCGAATCGCTCCTAGCAAATGACATCACCTGCCCCCAAGACATTCGAAAATACAATGACTCTGTGATTACAACCTACATTAACCTAGCCAGCCAGGTCACTACCCAAAAAAGTGGCCGTCTTCACACTAACAAAAACAAATGGTTCGATTGGGACTGCAGAAAGGCAAAACGTCAAGTTTGCAAGATCGAAAGAGTAAAGAACAACCCCTACATTGATCCCATGCTAGTGGAGCCTACTCGGGCTAAGTTTTACCTCCGAAAAAAGGAATACAGGGCTCAAGTTCGATCCAAAAAAGGCGCATATCTCTTTCAACTGAACGAGAAAATAAACAATGGCAATGACATCAACTGGTCTGCTCTGAAAGATCTCTCGTCCTCCTGTAGAGATCCTGAGACGTTCGATCTGTACGACCTATTTGCTTTTCACAAATTCTTCAACGACCTCTACAACCAAAAGTGCAAGGATCCATCCCACCGTGAACTTCAAGCCCACAACGCAAGCAATGATGGGATCAGCCACCCTGACCTACCAACTGAAGTGGAAAATCTTAACATGGAGTTCACTCTACAAGAGCTTGAAAAGGTGATCAACAAACTCAAAAACAACAAGAGCGTATCACTGGACCTAATATCGAACGAGATGCTCAAGAACTCCAAACTTTGCCTAAGGAAAGTTCTTCTCAAGTTGTTCAACGGCTGCCTGGAACAGGGGACTTACCCATGGAATTGTTCGATAACCACCCCTCTCCACAAGAAGGGCGACAAACAGAACCCTGACAACTATAGGGCAATAACTGTTGGAAGCTGTCTAGGGAAGCTATTTGCTTCTCTTCTCCTTGAAAGACTTATCGACTTCCGCAAAGTTATCTGCCCCGATTTCCCCCACCAACTTGGCTTCAGAGCGGGTGCACAGTGCTCGGATCACATCCTTACAATTACCACAATCATTGAGAAATACACGAAAAAGCTCAAAAAGAGAGTGTTTGCTTGTTTTGTTGACTACCGGAAAGCGTTCGATACGGTGTGCAGAGAAGCACTCATGTATAAACTCAATCACCTTGGTATCGGAGGGAACTTCTTCGCTTGCCTTAAGAACATGTACAGCAACTCGGTGACCCGCATCAAACTGATCCAAAAACTATCGGAGACCATTGATGTCGCCATTGGAACAGAGCAAGGGCATCCAATGTCTCCTGAATTGTTTAAAATATACATCTACGACCTCTCCATCTATCTAGCAGCCCTAGAAGATCTCTCTGTCCCTGAACTTAATGGCTTCCCAGTCAACCACCTGCTCTGGGCCGACGATCTCATCCTTTTAGCTCTCGACCACCAAAGCCTTCACAAAGAGCTTGACTGCCTAAATGAATTTGCAAGCAAATGGGAGCTATCTATCAACATTGATAAGACTAAAATAATGGTCTTCAACTCAAGCTCGCGGGTGCTAAACTGCTCGTACGGGTTCAAGCTTGGACAGCTCGACATCTCTCCAACAAGGTCCTACTGCTATCTAGGTATCCAGCTCAGCCTCAATGGATCTTTTAAATGCGCCATGAACGAACTGAGGAAGAAGGCGCTTCGAGCATTCTTTTCGATAAAACGCATGGTAGACACCAGAGCTCTGACCACCAAAACCATGCTAAAGCTAATTGACTGTCTGGTGAAACCGGTAGCAACTTACGCCTGTCAGATATGGCTACCCTCGACTCACCTCATGAAAGAAATGGCGCGTGAACCCAGCCAAAGACACAACCTATCAAAAGTTGCAGCAAAAGACAGTCTTGAGACAACACACCTCAAAATGCTGAAATGGGTACTGGGTGTGCACAAGAAAACTAACAACAACTTCTGTTACGGGGATACAGGAAGGATGCCCTGGGCCCTCTCAGTTCTGCCACAATGCCTCAGATACTTTGGAAGACTTTCCAGAGCTTCTTCTGAGATGAACAGTGTCAATTTTTTAGTATCTCAAGCGTTTCAGGAACAGAAAAATCTTAACCTCTCCTGGTACGAGAAACTTAGCTCTGTGGCTCATTATGAAACAGAAGCAGCTCATGGCACCATGAGGGATGTCTTTATCAGTGACTGGAGGGTGGACCTGGGATCGCAAACCAAGATGCAGTTCTACAACCAAATCAAGGAGGAATTTGGAGAAGAGCAGTACCTCAATCTGAAGAGCAGGCAATTCCGAACGAATACAGCTAAAATCCGCTCCAGCAGCCACGACCTGATGATAGAACGAGGGCGTTACACGAAGGAGGCCGGAGTCTGGCCAAGAGCATGCAGATTCTGCTGCGATAGGGATCACGTTCTCGGCTTCGAATACCTTCCCTTCTTTGAAGGCACGATTATTGAAGACGAGGAACACTGCCTTACTGAGTGCCCCATGTACCACTCAGTACGATCTTCTCTCTCAGATGACCTCAAAGGGCTTTTACTTCTCAGGAACTACAAAGACATGATGAATTCAGCCCACATAGAAGAACTGGGCAAGTTTCTCAGCAGCTGTCATCGCATCAGAAATCCGAAAAAGACACCAACATCGTCTTCCACTTGATCTAACACATCCGGTAATGATTCCGAGTCACTGTCTTAAGGACATTCTAACTACCCCAGTGTCCCTTAAATGAGTGTTCGAACTGTTTTCATTCGGAGTTACAGTTGCATAATTTACGCCCGTCTTTGAGTTTGTGTGTAATCTTTCTTGATAGTGTATTTTTGACTTTTGGAGTAACTTTGTGAATTTTATGAACCTCTCCTGCATAATTCATTACCTTATCGGTGCATTACCCACTTTAATCCGGTTAAATTATTATATTTGATCTTGTTTCCTTTTCGTACAGATTGTAGTGAAGTTAATTTTTTTACGTGTTTTGGGTCTTATTTATGATTTTTTTATAATTATGTTATTTATTTCATTGATGTATTGTCACGACGGGTCCGTTAGTGTTCCCTCTGACTATTTAAGTTTAATTCCAGTTTAATTCCAGTTTAATTCCAGTTTTCTATTTGCCTTGTTTTAGAAAAATAGAGCTCAGCATAGGGCAACCATACATTATACACTAACTGTGCCTAAGATTCAATAATCTTAACAATCATTCCCCAAGGTTTGGTAGGATACTATTTTTGAAATGGGAAATCTGACGATTGTGTTTGCTCTCACTGTCCTTCTAATCGGGAGTAAGTATAAGCACAGGTCAATGTTAAGTTTAATTCGTCTTTGAAATGATAAGATTAAGAAAACGACCCTGAGTATTTAAATCTTCAGGTGTAAGCAGTTTAGAATGTATGGCATGCTCGGGTTCTATGAAGCCAGAGAACTGTAATATCGCTACATGTGAACCGGAAGTTAACCAGTGCTACCACATGATCCCTAACACTAACCAGGAGTCGAGTGTTAGGGGCTGCTTGCCTACGGAACAAGACTTTGCTTCAGGTTTCTAACAGTTATAAATTATTAACATGTCGAGGTCGACATGTTTAACAATTCATTGACAGTAATTGTAGTCCCCTCTCTAACGCAGTTTTTTATCCTAAAATAATTGCATTGTACAATGTACATTGTACAGTGTACAATGTACAGGTGAGCTGCGTTATAAATGGGTAACTTATTTTTACGCTAAAATCAGCTCCGACGTTCGCCAAACATGCACGTAGAAGCTATTGTGCATTTTTTGGGGGGCGTTTATAGAGGGGAAACACTGTACTTCAATTTCACTGTTCATCATAACTATTTCTGATTTTAGATTGTGCTGAAAACGACTCCTGCGAATTCCAATCGTGCTCAGAAGAACGATGTAACAGCAGTCCAGGAATGCTATCCTCATTTCTCCTAATCCTCTTCTCAACTTTCTTCTGGTGTTTCTGATCAGTTTGAGATACTAATATTGTTGAAGAACTAGAAGAATTCTTGTTGTGTTTGCGTAATGGCTTAGTAATATCAAAATTGGATTTAGCTTAGGAATGCAAAGTAAGGCTGGATTATTATTCTCAATTTTATGTTTTGAAATAAACAAATAAAACCATCAGCTACTCTCTAAAGCTGTATTTTGCGCTATCTATACTTATAGTTCAAAATAAGGGTCATAGAACAGACAAGGCAGGTCGGTCGGGCGCCGGTCGGAGGTCGGTCGGGCGAAGAGGAGAATAATATCAGTTAAAGAGTATGCCTGTGCAATATCGAAATACATTGAAGGTTTAAATATATTGTCCCCAAAACATATAATATTGTTCGATTCCCATTGCAGAGCTAATTGATTGTTCGAAGTTTTTTGGTAAATAAATATGTTGATATAACTATAAGTTTAAGTTGGAATGTCCTACATCAAGTTGATAAGCCTTTCTAACGAATAACTTTATCTCTGAAAATAAAACAATGCGTTACATTTAACTGATCCCAAACGACATTTTGGAATTAAAGCGGCTCATTCCTTTCTTAATACTTTTTGTTTTTTATATAGATCATTTGTACTTATATTTCAAACTACACAATTAGTTTATGTTTTATCTAATCCGTTGTCCCAGTGAAGAAAACCTTAATAATAAAAAAAAAAAAGATATTATAAAGCTTAAATTTAATGAGATCAGGAATCAGCAGTAAATCTTTAAATGGAATTGGCAAAGAAGATAAGCAAAGTTTTCTTGCAGAAATAAAATCTAACACATCCCTCATATACTTACACACTAACTTACAGTCGCGTCTCTAAATAGCCAACAGCAAGAATGAAATTTTACCAAAAGTCAAAACCCATAATTGGGTAGAGTGGACGGAGTATCTGGGGTTCCTAGCGTATCGAGCAGAAAATGCCCGTAAGGCATTTTACTACAGGACGATATAACATGCGTGACGATATACAGTGTATGTCGAGATACAGTGTGCAAATCGAACTAAACTTCTTATTTTAAAAGCTATAACCATCTGACCATAATAAAACCCCAAACTTATTACGATGTTAAGTGTTAACTATACGATGGTTACTAGTAGTGTAACTATGGTAACTAGTAGTGTATTATGAAACTATTACTTCGTCTACCTACTTAATATAATGTTTGTCCCCAGAATTTTCTGTTCATTAAATAAATGAAGTTATTGCCAGAAAATCTTGGCAATAACTAAATTATGGTATGTACAAAAACTAAATGAATACTGTTGAATAGGTAAATACGATCATTATTCAGCTCAAAAGTCGAAGTATTATGTTTTATTTTTTACATTTGTCGTTAAAAATACGCAATCCCTGATCTTATCATTATCACCTCTCACATCTTGCGTCAAAAATCATTAGGGTACAAATGTCAACATAATTAATGATAAACACCGTCTGTTTATCATTTCTGTGTAATTACTAGGTATGCATTAATTAAAAGAACCACTTATATTAGCTATTCACATTGTCACGGTTTAGTGATTAGTCCTTGCCCACGTTCATGTAAATATCCTCAGTATTCTCAATCTCAGTGTTCTGAATGTTCTCTCTAAGTTCAGATATTGTAGAGTAGTTCACATCAACTCTCTCTGACTGTACCACTGTCTCTCTCTGTCTCAGTCTGGATGAAGTCACCAGTTCTACTGTAGCGTACGTGTCCTCTTCTCCTTCTTCTCCTTCTTCTCCTTCTTCTCCTACTCCTTCTCCTTCTTTCTTCTTAAACGATACACTGGAGATGAATACTGATATTAACAGTGAAGTTTTTAATAAAGTTGGTTATATCCTTGTAAGTAAAACAAATATGAACCTACTATTGGCATTGAAAAGTTCCTATCTATATTACCTTGTTACTGAGGAAGATCCAAACTGATTAAAGTTTGTGTAGAGCACCTCCTCCTCAACTGCATCAGTAGTTTCTTCAGCTCTGCTTTGCTTCCTGTTGAGGAGGGTCCGCTTATTATTTGCTATAAAGAAGAAGATAAGTATACCTTTCATTTCCAGTATAGTTTATCTACATAGTTTACGCAGAAATACCCCTCATAAATTATTGCATTATTTTGATTTCGTGTGAAATATTGATATCAATTATGAGCACGATAAAAAGTAACCTTACCTATCTCCGATTTTAGTGTAAAGGGAGTCGTCCTCTTGAAGATTAGTGTTTGCCTTCATGTTGTGTGTTCCTCTGGTTTTCTTTGTTGCAGATCTGTCCAGGCACGCGTACGCACTCTCTTCTTCAACAGGAGTAGGAGAAGAGGCCCTCTTAACTTCACCAGATCTGTCCAGGCACGCGTACGCACTCTCTTCTTCAACAGGATTAGTAGAAGAAGTTCTCTGAACTTCACCTAAAGTAGCGTAAGATGCATCCCCTTCTGTGTTTAACGTGGTGAGATTAGATCCCATCACTTCCATCTGATATCCATCCTGGGTTGTGAAGAAGCTATCTGTACTCGATGGCACCGCATTAGAGACTGCGATACTTTTCTTTCTGCAGCTGTTACCTGAAGCCTTGAATCTGTTCACTGTAACAGGTCTGTTGATGACAGCGTAAGTGTAGTCCGAGTCAGGTAAATCACTCTCTGGGTCTGTCACATGAAGGGGTCTTGGAGTATCAACTTCAGATCCTGTAGAGGGCTCAGTTCTTGATACTAAAACATTTCCCCTATTCCGTCTTCTCTTCCGGATAACTAAAATAATCACTAGAAGAATAGCCAGGATGAAGACCAACCCTCCAGCACATGTTCCTACAGGTACAGCGATATTTGCTTGTGGTTCTATACACTCATGAGCTTGTTTTGCAAATGCTTTACTTGTTTTTCCCACTGGACATTCACTGCATTCGCTTTCATATCCATATTGTCCTTCAGTGCAGTAACTTACATCAGGAAAGCATTCAGCCTCTTTCTTTGTTCCCGTAGAACTTGTTTTTCCCACTGGACATTCACTGCATTTGCTTTCATATCCATATTTTCCTTCAGCGCAGTAACTTACATCAAGAAAGCATTCAGCCTCTTTCTTTGTTCCCGTAGAACTTGTTTTTCCCACTGGACATTCACTGCATTTGCTTTCATATCCATATTTTCCTTCAGCGCAGTAACTTACATCAGGGAAGCATTCCGCCACTTTCTTTGTTTCCGCATAACTAGTCTTTCCTTCTGGACATTCACTGCATTTGCTTTCATATCCATATTTTCCTTCAGCGCAGTAACTTACATCAGGGAAGCATTCCGCCACTTTCTTTGTTTCCGTAGAACTTGTCTTTCCTTCTGGACATTCACTGCATTTGCTTTCATATCCATATTGTCCTTCAGCACAGTGACTTACATCAGGGAAGCATTCCGCCACTTTCTTTGTTTCCGTAGAACTTGTCTTTCCTTCTGGACATTCACTGCATTCGCTTTCATATCCATATTGGCCTTCCAGACAATAACTTACATCAAGAAAGCACTCCTGTATTTTCACAGTTTTAGGCCGACTGGTTTGGTTGTCCGGACACGGTTGACAGCTCACTCCATTATATCCCCAGTATCCCTCTGAACAAGCGCTTTCAGGAGAGGAGCAGTCTCCTACTCCAGCTTTACTTGTTTGTCCTGCTGGACACTCCTCACAGTCTTTACCATATCCACCCTCTCCAGCCTCACACTTATATCCAACTCTAGTGATCTGACGAGTATCCAGGTCGTTATCTCCATTCTTCAGAGTACAGCTCACTTCATCCTGGTTACTTATAGTTAGTGTTAATATGACCTGAGGAGGAGTGGAGGAGGCATATCCACTCTCATCTCTTGTTACCGCGCCTTTACCTCCACAATCTAGTACAACTTGTTCTAGTGGCCATCCTTGTACAACCCACTCAAACGCAGTGTCTTCACTATTTTCTGTGTAGTAATCTAAAGGTGAGGAGCTAATGATTGATACAGAGTGAGTATACTGTAACGTGTATGTCTTAGTTACACTGTTCATGAAGTTCTTGTTGAGGATTGTGCAGGTCCAAGTTCCGAGGTGAGCAGTAGTGACCCTACCTATAGTGACAGCCGACTCTATCCTGTGATCCGCCTCTATAGAGGTGTAGGTATTAGTTGGCAGTATAACAGTAGGTTTACCGTCTTTAGTCCACTTGACATCAAGATAAGGAGCTCCAGAGCCAGCACACGTGAGAGTGTAGGAGTAGCCGAGGTTCACAGTTTGTGTTATAGCTTCGTCTTCGTCGCAGAGTCTTGGGGTAGGATCGGAGCAGGCTGATATGTATTTAAACACTGTACATCTTCCGCCATTTTTTATCCTCACTGTATCTCGTAGACGCACGTTGTTATTGATATTCTGAAACCAGTTCCAATTGACCGCTGATTCAAAGTTGTAGTCCAAACTTGTAGCATCACCAGGGTCTCCAAGATAGATCTTGTAGTAATCAGAGTACTGGTCTGATATCTGAATATTAGCTGCTTTCCCTGTTATAGTTCTATCTGTATCTCCAACTATCTGATCATATTGATTCTTCCCATTAATATAGAAATAGGTGTCCGTGCTGTAACGTATCTTGAATATCAGTGATTGGAATGATTCTCCATACCCACGAGTGTAAAACCTCAAGAAATCATGAATTTGATGGCTTTTTTGTTTATATTCACATGTTGGTGATATTATATCAAAACTGGCAGTGACAATACCAGTGACCTTGCCCTGCTCCACTGTAATTTCAAAGGAAGTATCTTCTTTGCTGGAATGATCCTCCCAATCAGGGTTATTATATACGAACTCGCATATTGCATTCTCACAGCTTCTAACAGACACAAAGAGTAATGCTAATACAAGGAAAGTCTTCATAGCATCACCAAACTTACTATCGAAATGTAACACAAGACATAAGGAATATTCGTACTATCTTCGTTATTTATTTTTTCTACTTTTCACTATTTAGTTCCGTATTTTACTCCATACTGCTATTACATCATCCTGTTGTTGTTACTCAACAGACGTATTGTCCCACTACCAACTACGCAGTAAAGTTACTTCACACGAGTACAATCAATACATTCACCGAAATGTTACTGTAAATACCTACATTGAGAGTTGACACTGCTCTTTACTACATTTTATATTGTAACCGTTAATTGTATACAGTAATATGCTCAACTTCAGCTGTACTCGATCGAGATCATAAAACCAGATAAACAGGGAAGTAGCTTATCTAGGGACCCCAGACTTTAGTGGTCATACACAGTACACACTTAGCCCGATCGAAGATATAAGGCAGAGTGATAGGCTGAGCGCTGCCAAGTAAGAAGAAGCAAGGTAGTCTCTTGCAGGAGTTGTTAGAAAAGTACAAGGAGAAGTTTTTAACTGTCTAGTGTTCGAATATGAATGTGAAGTTACCGACTTTTATATCAGTCATAGGTTGTGGAATAAAAAACTAATTGGGTACGATAACTGTACAGTGTACAAATACGAATAGTACTGTAATCTACTTCGAAGAGCATCACCTAAAATCAACATACCCAAAACCTATTAAAGGAAGTGTATACTGTGTATAACTAGAAATTAAATTGAGCATTGGGCGAAATTGCTTCTTTTTTCAAATAAAAATGACATTTAGGATAAATGGAAGTTTTTCGGGATTCGGAAATGAGTTATGTTAGGTACAATGTACAATGTACAATGTACATACATCTAAGTTTTCAAACAGCAGGACAGTCGATTTTGATAGTACGCCAATGATACCTGAACCACAGCCTTCAATCTTTAACCAGTAAATTTAGAAACGTTAGTGTGGAAATAATTGAGAATCAACTAGCCCGAACATCAGCTCGTGCTCAGAAGAACGATGTAACAGCAGAAGAACAATGTAACAGCAGAAGAACAATGTAACAGCAGAAGAACGATGTAACAGCAGAAGAACGATGTAACAGCAGAAGAACGATGTAACAGCAGAAGAAGAAAGAAACAGCAGAAGAACGATGTAACAGCAGAAGAAGAAAGAAACAGCAGAAGAACGATGTAGCAGCAGAAGAAGAAAGAAACAGCAGAAGAACGATGTAACAGCAGAAGAAGAATGTAACAGCAGAAGAAGAAAGAAACAGCAGAAGAAGAATGTAACAGCAGTCCAGGAATGTTATCCTCATTTCTCCTAATCCTCTTCTCAACTTTCTTTTGGTGTTTCTGATCAGTTTGAGATACTTATATTGTTGAACTTGAAGAATTCTTGTCGTGTTTGCGTAATGGCTTAGTAATACAAAAATCGGAATTAGGAATGCAAAGCAAGGTTGGATTATTATTCTCAATTATTTATGTTTTGAGATAAACAAATAAAACCATCGGCTACTTTCTAAAACTGTATTTGTGCTATCTATATAAGTATATGCTATAGTTTGAAATACGAAGAGGAGAATAATCAGTAAAAGAGTAATATAGTATGCCTGTGCAATATCGAAATACTCTGAAAGTTCAAAAATATTGTCCCCAAAACATATAATATTGTTCGATTCCCACTGCAGAGCTGATTGATTATTTGAAGTTTTTTTGGTAAATAAATCTGTTGATATAAGTTTAAGTTGGTATATCCTGCATCAAGTTGCTTTGCCTTTGTAACCAATAACTTTATCTCTGAAAATAAAACAATGTGTTACATTTAACTGATTTTAAACGACAATTTGGAATCAAAGCGGGCGGCGGCTCATTCATTTCTTATTAAACTTTGTTTTTAAATAGATCATTTGTACTTATTTTAAAAACTATAAAATTAGAATCTAAAGCTTAATAAGATCAGCAGTCAGCGGTAAATCTTTAAATGGAACTGGCGAAGAAGATAAGCAAAGTTTTTTATCCCACTGAAATGAAACTTCAAGTGACCCCCCCCCCCCCCCCCCCCCCTCATTCACATACAGTCGCGTCTCTAAACAGCAAACAGCATAATTATAAAGAATGTAATATGCTTTACTTGAATAGCTTCAAGTTAACTACAGGAGCTGTGTATCTAACGTTTAGCCAGCGAAATGAATCTACGAAGGGGCATGGAGGGGCTGGTCGAACCCTCAACCTTTCTATTACAAACAGTGTGATCCGTCACTCACTATTATTATTAACTAATACAACAAATACAAAGTACAAGTATCTCAAATACTACATGTACCAGTATTCCAAACAAAAATGAGAAATGTCAGTAATAATCCTTCCGAGCAGCTTGAGCTCAGGAGTAACTACTGACATTTAGCCTAAAAGTAATACGAAAATGTTGGATTCAATATTAGCAATTAGTGATTGGCTGGACACCAGCACTCTGTGATTGGCTGGTCGACCTTGTTGATATCAGTCTAAGATCCTCTATTGGATGCTTTGAAGACAAGTGGTACGTCCAAAAGAACGGAGTGCCTACAGGTGGAAGTCTGTGTGTGCAGTTGGCCAACATAACTGTATTTTATGTAATGAACAAATGCGTTTACAGTAACACTGACATGATGAAGAGAGTCAGGACTGTAAGACGGTACATTGACGATGGTGCAGGTTTCTTCTACAGCACTGAAAGGAAATTTGACCAGTGGATTTCCGATGTAAACAAATCCTTGAAAGAATATGGGCTACTCATTGATGAATCCCAATGGAAGGAAGTTGGCACACCTGTGGCTTTTCTTGATATCGAGTTTTGTTTCGACCCTGAGGGAAACTTACAAACTGACCTTCATGTCAAGGAAACAGATTCAAGAAGCTATCTACACTTTAGCAGTGCACATCCAAACCACATTTATAGTGGAATAGTTTACAGCCAGTGCATCAGGCTCAGAAGAATAATCAACTCGCAAGAACGACTGGAAACCAGATTGAGTGAATTAAGCCAAGCATTCAAGGCAGCTGCATATCCCTCAAAAATGGTGAACAACATCAGCAAAAAAGTTCTCAACTCAGAAAGAAACCTTGAACGAAGACCTCCCAAAGACAACACACTGAAGCCAGAGATCCTGCCAATAAGGGTTGTCTCAACCTACGGAAGTGACTCTGATATCGTCACCACAGTGATTAAGTATGAGGAGAACTTAAAGAAGACCAGAAGTTTTTGTAACCTGAGTGACTCAAAACAACAAAGTAACACCCTTGAAGAAAAGAAGAATGGCAAGTTCTTCCAGTTTGTCAAGAAAACAGGAAGCAACCTCAAAAGCCGGTTGGTTAAGGTGAAAGAAATAGCTCTGGGGAATAAGCATGGTCAAACAAGGCCGTGTAGAAAGAAGAACTGTGCAACGTGTGAGTCTATTGATAGTGCTACACAAATCAGCATCAATGGGAAACGGGTAAAACCAGCACCAGGTACATGCATCACTTACAACATCATATATTTGATCAGATGTAAACTGTGTGAGAAACCATACGTAGGCAAATCCACCAGAATGCTACGGGTAAGGTTTGGCGAACACAGAAGAGCATTCTACAAGATCATCAGTGGGCAAAAGGTTGACACGGATGATGACTCAAACTGTGTAGGACTCCACCTCCATATAGAGCATGGATTGTCTCAGAAGGAAAATTTTAACAATAGTGTTTCAGTGTGTATCCTAGAAAATTCAAGTCCTAGTAGTTTAGATGTAAAGGAGCACCGATATATACATGCCTTAAAGTCCCTTCGCCCCTCTGGAATGAATAGTACAAACCCTTTCAAGATACCTTTACTGCATAATTAATTTTTATTTTTTCCGAGGGGCTTTCCATAAATTATTTTTTTAAATACTTGGTCCATTTATTGATGTTTCATTTATCACAGCAGTTTCCTTTTAAGAGTTTGAGTTTATATTTAGAAACTAACCATACTATCTTTTAGATTTATGTCACTTATGATGGCTCCGGCTGAAAGTACTATGACTCATTTCATTTAAAAGATCGTAGTTTCATTGCTTCTGAAGTAGCTATCAGTTCGCCGGTCATTGTTGGGTATAATACTCTTGTGATTAGCAATTAGTAGTCAAACATAACATTAACACATAATGAGATGAGAGGTTCTGATATGATGTTATTACTTATTGACATTAGAAGCTTCAAACACAACACATGTAACAAGTTTACGTACACGGAGTATGGAAAAATGAAACTTGGTTTACATATGACACAGACACAAAACGATGAATGTTTTATTACAGTGGCACGAGATTTTCTCCCTTTCAGTTTTCGTTTGTTTGGTTGGAAGAAAAAAGCTCCTCCGCGGATATCTAGCACAACATCTTCACTATCTTTATCTGATAAATTTCAACAAAAGTTTAACCTCTACAATAATAACCGCGATCATATTTATAAAGACTACAATTACAAAAAGACTACAATTACAAAAAGACTACAATTACAAAAACCACTTCGACACTATTACTAACATCAGACTAACTACCCTATCAACCTCTGCCTTAAAGAAGAGTCTAACACTAAGCTAGTGGCTGACAGGGCAGTGATAGCGAAACAATGTGTACTTTTTAACGAAGTGTTGAGGTCACCGGATTCTGCTGCCCGCCTCGCTCGAGCACGCGAACGCCCCCCTTTCGTCAGTTTTCGTTTGTTAGGTTGAAAGAAAAACCCTCCTCCGCCTCGAGCTTCTAGTTCAATCTCTTCAGCTGGAGAATTGACAAATTCTTAAATTTAATGTATGGCTCCCGGCTTAGAAAATGTTGTCTAATTAGAGCTGTTCTGTTTTTATGTTTAAAAAAACTCTGCTTTTGTTGAACACATTACAGCATAATTACAGCACATTACATACTCTCAGCTTACAAAACTGTGGAAAATTTAGGCTACTAAGGTAGTGTCTGCAGTTCCTTATGACAGCCTTGAGAACACTTGCTATATATTATATATAATATATATTATTACATACAATTTAGTGATTTTTTTAAACTGCTGAAATTGGGAAATCCCACTGCGGCTTTGTCATTACCCTTGAACACATTCACAATTCATGAGAAAAACATGTCTATTTTAGGTTTAGTAGACTATCCTTGGTATGCTGTCCGTGTTGATCAGCAACGAAGAAGAAACCTGAAGTTTCGCCATATCAGACGGTAATATAGTGC